CTATTTTTTGGTTGCAGCCATCATTGTTGTTTGGCGAGCTGGGCTGGATTTGAACCTGCCAGCTCAGGTGTATGTGGCTGCTGCCTTAGCTGCTTGAACCACAGGCGCCGAGCCTGAAATATTTTCATCAAACTGATTAATATAGCCTTCATAAGTCTGGAAATATCTTAAATCTGTTTCTCACAACTGACTGAAAGTTTATGTTAAAATTTGAAATTACAAATCATTTTCCTAGGCCATGTGTGGTGGCTATGCTGGTAATCATAGCACTCTGGGAGGCCGGGGCAGGTGGATCCCTTGAGCTCAGGAGTTTAAGACCAGTCTGAGCAAGGGTGAGACTCCCATCTCTACTAAACAAAGAAAAAATTGGGCAGGAGTTAATGGTGAGCACTTGGTCCCAACTGAGGTTACTGTGAACTAGGCTGACACCTCAGGCACTTTAGGCTGGATAACAGATTTGAGATTCTGTCTCCATAAGAAAAAGAAAAAAGAAATCATTTTTCTATATTTACCTGGCAAGGGAAATACCACAATCATGACAGTTTTCCCTGGGCAAGGCTTATCCATTGCATACTGGATGTGCTGACCCCTGTGATTTCCCCCAAATGTGGGAAACCCAGCTGTGTAATTTGTGGTACTAGGGTACTGTGTTTGGGGTATTCTCTGGGAAAAAAGTTAATTTTTTAAAAGAATTTTTGAAAGGCTGGATGTGGTAGCTCACACTTATAATCCTAGCACTTTGGGAGGCCAAGGTGGGTGAATTGCTTGAGCTGGAGAATTTGAGACCAGCCTGAGCAAGAGCAAGACCCTGTCTCTACTTAGAAAACTAGCCAGGCATTGTGGCGGGTGCCTTATAATCCTAGCTACTTGGGAGGCTGAGGCAAAAGGATCACTTGAATTTGAAGTGGCTGTGAGCTAAAATGTCATGGCATTCTACCCAGGGCAACAAAGCTTGACTCTGTCTCAAAAATAAGTAAATAAAAAGACATTATTTCTTTTTTAGCCTAGCTTCTCATGTTGCTTGTCAAGATTTCTTAACTACAAGGATACATTGTAAGAAATGTATCTTTAGGCTATTTTGTTGTTACGTGAACCATCATAAGTGTGCATACACAAACCTGGATGATAGGGCATACTATACAATTTTGTTATATGGTATAGCTCATTCCTGCTGTGCTGTAAACCTGTATAGTTTGTAGTGGCTGTACTATAAACCTGTATAGTTTGGTACTGTACTGAATACTGTGGGTAGTTGTATATAACACAGTGGTAAGTATTGTGTATCTAAACAGAAAAGGTACAGAAAAAATACGTAAAAGAAATGATAAATCTATATATAGGGCACTTGCCAGAATGGAGCTTGTAGGACTTGTGCTCGATAATATTTAATTTTAGCCATTCTAAATTTGTGGGGAGTAGTTTCTCAGTGTGGTTTCATTTGCATTTCTTTGATGATTAAGTGGTGTTGAACACCTTTACATGTGTATACTGGCCAGAGCCCATTAGTCTGTGATATTTGTTAAATAGCATCTTGTTCGTTTTTTTAATCTTTGTAGTATCTTATCTCTTTGAGCATATTAATAATCTATTTTAAAGGCTCGGCGCCTGTGGCTCAAGTGGCTAAGGCGCCAGCCGCATACACCTAAGGTGGCGGGTTTGAATCCAGCCCACGCCCACCAAACAACCAACGACAGCTGCAACAGAAAAATAGCCAGGCGTTGTAGCGGGCACCTGTGGTCCCAGCTACTTGGGAGGCAGAGGCAGGAGACTCGTTTGAGCCCAGGAGTTGGAGGTTGCTGTGAGATGTGATGCCATGACACTCTACCCAGGGGGACAGCTTGAGGCTCTGTTTTAAAAAATTCATTTTCCCAAGCCGGGCATAGTAGCTCATGCCTTTAATCCTAGCACTCTGGGATGCTGAGGTAGATGGATTTTTTCTTTCTTTCTTTCTTTTTTTTTTGAGACAGAGTCTCACTTTGTTGCCCTTGGTAGTGTGCTGTGGCATCCTAGCTCACAGCAACCTCAAACTGCTGGGCTTAAGTCAGCAGTTCTCAACCTGTGGGTCGTGACCCACAGGAACCGTATTAAAGGGTTGTGGCATTAGGAAGGTTGAGAAACCACTAGCTTAAGCAATTCTCTTGCCTCAGCCTCCTGAGTATCTGGGACTACAGGCACTGGCCACAAAGCGTGGCTGTTTTTAGGGATGAGGTCTCACTCTGGCTCAGGCTGTAAACTGTAAGCTCAGGCAGTCCACCTGCCTCAGCCTCCCAAGTGCTAGGATACAGACATGAGTCACTGTACCTGGCCTTGAGGCAGGTGATTTGTGCTCATGAGTTCAAGACCAGCCTAAGCCAGAGGGAGACCTTATCTCTAAAAACAGCCTAGTGTTGTGGATTCCTGTAGTCCCAGCTATTCAGAAGGCTGAGCCAACAGAGCTGTGACGCCATGGCACTTTACCGAAGGCAACAAAGTGAGACCAAAAAGAAAAAAATTATTTTTCCTTTTGCATGGTTTTTTCCTCAAAAAGTATATTTTTCTGTTTCTTTTTGTTCATTCTTAATAGACCTTTATTAAATGCTTGGTAATGTTTCTCTGTTTGTAATACTAATGAGTAGTATTGTATTTGGCCAGGTGAGGTGGCTCATGTCTATAACCCTAGGGAGGCCTGGGTGGGAAGATTGCTTGAAGCCAGGAGTTTGAGATCAGTCTAAGCAAGAACGAGAAACCTTCTCTACACAATAAATAGAAAAATTAAGTGGTAGTGCACAGTGGTAGTCCCAGCTACTCAGTGTATCGAGGCAGGAGGATTGCTTGATCCCAGGAGTTTGAAGTTGCAGTGAACTGTGATGATCTCTAGCTGGGGTGACAGGATGAAACCATGTCTCAAAAACAAAACAAAATAAAAAAAGTACTGTATTTGTGTATAGGACTTGTTACTTGGGTTTTTCTGTGAGATGGTAACTGCTGAGCATTTTTATCGTGAAATTCTCTTTTTACTACCCTTCTCTGTGCTACACCCCTTCCCCAATTCAAGTCAGTATTATTATTATTATTTTTTTGAGGCAGAGTCTTACTGTGTCACCCTCAGTAGAGTGCTGTAGTGTCACAGCTCACAGCAATCTCATACTCTTGGGCTTGAGCGATTCTCTTGCCTCAGCCTCCCAAGTAGCTGGGGCTATAGGCACCTGCCAAAATGCCCGGCTATTTTTGTTGTTGTTGTTGTTGTTGTTGTTGTTATAGTTGTCATTGTTTTGCAGGCCCCAGGCTGGGTTAGAACCTGCCAGCCTCCATGTATGTGGCTGGCGCTCTAACCACTGAGCAACAGGTGCTGAGCTGCAAGTCAGTATTATGTCTTCTTTCAGATTTCTCAGAGATGGCTCCTTAGGTTCTGTCCGCAGACTTAAAGTTCTGGCTGCCTGACTGGACTCTCAGAGAAGGAGGGAGTAGAAGTCTCTATGTGCTTCATCATGTGTTTATCATTATTATTATTATTATTTTTGAGACAGAGCCTCAAGCTGTCCCCCTGGGTAGAGTGCTGTGGCATCACAGCTCACAGCAACCTCCAAC